AGTTTATTTACATGTATTTGGTGGGAGGTCAATTCTGGGTCAGCTTTTGTAAAGACGGTTCTGATTGGTCAGAAATTAAATTTCAGTCCATATTCGGAAAAGTTCATGAACAATTAACCAAAATAGGGAAATATTCTATTTTTCAGAATACTGTCTTAGAACCTACACGAGTAAGGATAAATGATCTTTTGTCTTAAATATGAACATATGCAATTAATGAAACCAATAAGGCTGTCCCGAATATACCGAATATTCGAATATCAACCGAATATTCAAATAGCTTTTTGCCTGTATGAATATTTAAAACAACAATAAAATATTTGCATGTACACACATGACTGTGATGTTATTTTATCATAAAGTTGCGACGCTTTATTGTCAGGTGCCACTTTCTTGTCGATGGTAACTTTTTTGTCAACGGCGGTTCATTGTTTCCATTCTTAGGTTCAATTCCTTGACAGTTATAATTTAATAAAATGCAAAATACCCCAGCGGCCCATATCGATTGCTGCACGCAATTTTAACCGGCGCGCTCTGCATGCAACTTTTGATCGGTGCGGCAACACAGTTGCAGTTTTGAATATCCGAATATTCAGTCAAATGCAGTTTCGAGTAATCGAATACTAAATTATTCGAAAATGGACAGCCCTATAGAAACCATTCAAACTGCATCTCTCAGTCACTCGACTCATCAGAGAGTTAATTTATGGTCAGCCATTGGATAAATTGTCTAATGACCAATTTATCAACATTTAGAACTGAAAGTTAAATTCTAAGTTAGTGAAGAAATTTGACTTTCTTGCATCTCAGGGCACAAGATGTGGTTGTGGGAGCATAAAAAAAGAGTGGGATGCCACTGAACGAAAGTCGAATACCCCAAAATATGTGGATTCAAAATGCATGGCAGTAATGGGGACCAGAAATCCAGTTAGTGAAGGCTAAAAGTTATGCTTGGATAATGGCAAGAACTTTTGCAACAATATCATGTAGACATCCTTATTTGAAGGTACTCGTTAATTAACATTAATCAACTACATTGAACACAAAAAAATCATCACAGCTGCTGATTAAGCTGTGTATAAAGTTCAGAAGTTGCCATATTTTTTTTCAGTAACTGGTTGTTTTGGCGAGCCAATGTATGTGTCCAAAATGGCCCCTGCTGGAGATTATGAGCCAATTGAAATGGCTCAACATTAATTGCAAATTGTGTTGATTCTTAATTGAACAATTAATTTTAAAGTACATGTATTAAACATTTTGTCAGTTGCACGCACATGTATGGTTGTTGCATGCTGGGTGCACCATGAAATTACGCATTTCACATGCAAAAACCAAATACGCAACACGTGAATGGGCTATGCACTAGATGCAATACGTCATTCCAGGGTGCGGCTGACATTTGTTGCACAAAGTTGCTGGACTGGCAACAGTATGGTCTGCCAAGCTGGACCCACTCTCAAAATGTGTGGGAGACTGGAATAAAAAACCCTCAGGCTTTGAAGCTACGTAAAAAATGGTCTAGGGTTGAATAATGGCAAACTACTGAAGCAACAGACCATGACTCCCGATTTATCATGAATGCACTGTACATGCTGATATTACTACGGTACATACATTGTTTTTGGACAACAGGCCCGTCGCCAACAGGAAGTCCATTTAAAAGAAATAGAGAAAGGGAAAAAAACCCAAATCCTTCAGACTGAGACAGCCTTGTCTGGGGCTGGGTCAAGTGTCAATCCCGCCATTGAAATTACACAACACCTCAGACCGCTTCACTTCTGCAGAAAAGCATCTCGCCAGCCTCATTGTTCAACAGAGCTGCATCCAGCAGTTCACACGGTGCAACATGGGTGCGACACGGCAACAAATGCATGATTTCACTTGTACTTTAGAAAGTCGAAATAAGTTCCGTTACCAATTCAAGTAGCCGTCTAAAATATTGATAGTTTGTGCTAAAAGCCTTATCGGTACTTCAGGTGAAATTAAAGGGAATATACAACATTTGCAAACATCGAAAAAAAAACTACCAAGTTTTTGCGAAATACCTTAATAGGATGTTGGTAAATGACAGCCTGAAGCATCCTGTAAAATTATGGCACCTGGTATACTGTCATTTTCAAGAAAAGTGGTATTTTTGTGTCAATTTCCAACGCTGATCGGCCGATCAGCGTTGGAAACAACTGGCTTTTTTTCAAATACTGGCCCCAATTGACCATTGCACTTGTTTGCAATCGATTACAAACCTATGAACGGGTACGAGCCAGCTAGACTGGTTCCCTGACCTTACAATTCCCCAATGTATGTAAACTGCTCTGTTTCTTCTTATATGGAGTCAGGGAACCAGACTACAGGAAAATGATCGTTTTTCTTGGTTTTTATAGCATTTTCGAACCCAAAACCTCCAAAAAGTCAGTGCAACTATATTTGCTTTATATTTCCAACCCCCAATTCCATCCATTTCTGAAAATTACAGCAAAAGCAAATGATGTATATTCCCTTTAAGTCAATAAAAACATTGGATTTTGTTATGGCAAGACGTCACTGGTTTGCTACAGTCTTTATGAGATCCACTACATGACAACCACTGACAAAATATTTGGGGGTTTTTTCTTTGTATGGAAATCAGGGTTTGACTACAAATTTAACAAAAGAGGAGAGCCCTTTTTTAAATTTAGGATCATTTAAAATTTAGAAAATCTCTTGACCAGAAGGTTATATTGTAAGCATACATGTACATTATGCGTAATCATAGCCCTGTTAAAAGTCAAGCAACCCCCCCCCCCCTCTACTCTCCAAGATTCCGCAAGTTAACTAGAAGATAAACGGCATGGGGTCAAAAAGTGAGCCCATCACTTCAGTGGCAGATCCAGGGGGGTGCGGAGGGGGCACAGCCTCAGCCCCCCCCCCCCCCCCAGTACCCTTTCTTGCAATTCAACACTTCTACAGACAGAAAACTGCATGTGATTGGTGAAAGCGGTAGGCCTACATGGACATTGTGCAGACAATTGTCAGGACCAAAAGACTGTTTTGCGCTGTGAGATATGGCCCAAAGAGTTGATATGGTCTACTGATGACATTGACATTTAAGTACGCAGATTTCACTGTGTGGTATAGTACCTGTACCTGAATACCCACTGACCTTGTCTAAAAATATCCTTTTATCAGGAATATTACACAACCAGCCATATTTGGGGCAATTCATAATATCAGCCTGCACTTGCCTGGGATGTATTTTTATTGGGCTATTGTCCCGGGCCTGGACAAGAAGTCTGAAAGGGCTAGACTGCTTAGAGCTGAATACCCTTTCGACCTCTGTCTAGCATGGTCAAAGACCAACCCAATATGGTTGTGTGTAAACCACTGATCTCTATACAGACTGGATAGTGCATCCATACACCAGTCACACAGTAGACTTTGCTTACTGACCAATTCGCCCCCGGTCTCACGAAGATGGGGGCGTATGATACGAAGGTTCTACACATATATACAGCGCGCGCTGTATCAAGAGTTGACGCACATTTTGGTCATGTACATGTACACGTATTAATATGTTCTAAAAAGGACACATTTTGGCAGTGATTATTATTTCAAAAACGGCAAAAAAATACATCACGTTATTACACTTGTCCGCCAATATTTGAATGCCCGTCCAAAATTTTTTACTTTTTACTTTTATAAAATTATATTAATAACATTGTTTTTCAAAGTTGCATTACTATATTGGTGCTGGGTGGACCTACCAGAACACTGAATTGTTTTTGTAGTCAGAGATTTGTCAAGACATTGAAAGGGTTACGAACTGTGGCACATGTATCAGGAAAGGCATTGCAGTCTTACTGTACCACCCAAAACCACCTCGACTATTACTTTTCATACCATCCAAAACCACCCTCTTTTATGGCTTCATCAAAAGACAATACAGTGTAGTACAATGTAATATGTATACATTTTTTATAAACTTGGGTTAACCAATTAAATACTACATGTATACCATCCCAAACCAACCTGCCCTGTACCATCCCCAAATGCCTGGCCACCCAATAGGTTTATAGATTCATCAGGGAATAAATACAATGTAATACAATTATGTAACTAGTAAAAGTCCTTCAAGTTGAATCTACATGTGTAACATTGTTCTTTTTTAAATTGTGAATCAAGTCTGATTAATTTAAATCTACAAACTTAATCCAACACCAAATCATGGGAAAAGAGAACCCACTCACATCACCTGATGAACAGTTCCACGGTTTGATGGACATGGCTTAGAAAAAGAAAATGATTTTTTTTTCAACCCAGTTTCACTTTTTTATTACAGATTAAATACATTCAAGTATGTGAAATTAAAACCCTATTTTATCAAACGTTTTTGAGAAATCTTGTCGTAAAGTGCAAAAGAGTTTTTTTTTACTACAAAGAACTCTAAATATTACGTAAGGTTTAACCTTGATTGCTATTACTGCAATTAGAGATATTTCAATCACAACCTTACATGTATTTCTAGCTTGTATGATACCGGGAAGCCTTAATCTCTGAAACATATGTGAATTCACAGCTGTCATCCGAACCAAAAAGATATAAAAGCTTTTTCTCACCAACATTTCTAAAGAATTAAATTTTGGTATTTAGGATTTTCCTTCTTCGCAAAAACATTGATATAAATATTGAAACGTCGTCCGGATCCTGGGTTGTCACACGTCAGATGAAGGAAACAACAGACACTATTCTTGTGGGTTTCGGGGATCTAGGCCGTTTATTCTTGCCACTTTCTTACACGAGGCTCTCTCCTTTTATGACTCACAACAAAAGACTTATAAAAAATGTCACACTACTGTGTCGGCGCAGTCCGGCAACGGGTCTCCCCGACAAAGCAGCAGGGGTCGCAACGCTACAACGCACTGTGGGTCCGTGCTGGCGCCCTCTGGTGGCGGTCTGGCACCACCTCCTCCGTTACGCCGCCCCCTTCAAGGACCTTAGTTCGTCCCGGACCAAGGCGGGGTCACCTCTGGGGTCTTCTCTGGGTTCTCCTCTGGGGTCTCCTCTGGGACCACCTCTCATGTCTCCTCTGGGGTCACCTCTGGGGTCTCTTCTGGTTTTTCCTCTGGGTTCTCCTCCGGGGTCTCCTCTGGGTTCTCCTCTGTGTTCTCCTCCGGGGTCTCCTCTGGGGTCTCCTCTGGGGTCTCCTCTGGGGTCTCCTCTGGGACCACCTCTGATGTCTCCTCTAGGGTCACCTATGGGGTCTCCTCCGGGGCCACCTCTGGGGTCTCCTCCGGGGTCTCCTCCGGGGCCACCTCTGGGGTCTCCTCTGGGGTCTCCTCCGGGGCCACCTCTGGGGTCTCCTCCGGGGTCTCCTCCGGGGCCACCTCTGGGGTCTCCTCTGGGGTCTCCTCCAGGCCACCTCTGGGGTCTCCTCCGGGGTCTCCTCTAAGGTCTTCTCTGAGACCACCTCTGGGTCCTCCTCCGGGACCTCCCCTGGGGTCTCCTCCAGGGTCTCCTCCGGGCCACTTCTGGGTTCTCCTCCGGGGCCACCTCTGGTGTCCCCTCCGCGGTCTCCTCCGGGGCCACCTCTGGGGTCTCCTCCGGCATCTTCTCTGGGGCCACCTCTGGGATCTCCTCCTGGGCCACCTCTGGGGTCTCCTCTGGGGTCTCCTCCAGGGTCACCTCCAGGGTCTTCTCTGGGTTCTCTACTGGGTTCTCTACTGGGTTCTCCTCTGGGTTCTCCTCCGGGGCCACCTCTGGGGTCTCCTCCAGGGTCACCTCTCTGGTCTCCTTTGGGTTCTCCTCTGGGTTCTCCTCTGGGGTCTCCTCTGGGGCCACCTCTGGGGTCTACTCCGGGGACTCCTCTGGGGTCTCCTCCAAGGTAACCTCTGGGGTCTCCTCCGGGGTCTCCTCTGGGGTCTCCTCCGAGGCCACCTCTGGGGTCTCCTCTCGGGTCTCCTCTGGGGTCTCCTCCAGGCCACCTCTGGGGTCTCCTCCGGAGTCTCCTCTTGGATCTCCTCTGAGGCCACCTCTGGGGCCACCTCTAGGGTCTCCTCCAGGGTTACCTCTGGGGTCTCTTCCTGGGCTCATCTAGGGTCTACTCCAGGGTCACCTCTGGGGTCTCCTCTAGGGTCTCCTCTGGGGTCTCCTCTGGGGTCTCCTTCGGGTTTTCCTCTGGGTTCTCCTCTGGGGGTCTCCTCCGGGGTCACCTCTGGAGTCTTCTCTGTGTTCCCCTCTGGGTTCTCCTCCGGTGTCTCCTCTGGGGTCACCTCTGGGGTCTCCTCTGGGTTCTCCTCTCTATTGACTCCTGCACGTGGGGAGCAACTGTGCCGGCTTCATAGGTTCCTATGCAGAGCAGCTCTGTCGGCTCCACTGGCTCCGCTCCATAGACTCCCGTGCGGAGCAACTCCATCGGCTCTGCTCCATTGAGACCCGTGTGGAGCAATTGCGCCAACTCGGCCCCATTGACTACTGTGCAGAGCAACTCCATCGGCTCCATTTCATTGACTCTTGTGCAGAGCAACTGCACCGGCTCCGCTCCATTGACTCCCGTGCATAGCAACTGCGCCAGCTCTGCTCCACTGACTCCCGTGTGGAGCAACTCCACCGGCTCGGCTCCATTGACTTGTGCACTGCAGAGCCAACCCGCAGGGGAATACACATCCAGTGCATGGCCATGCGAGGAACGTAGCCGTTCCCAAAAGAAATGTGCGTCCGTCGTATGAATGTGTGTGTTACGGGGCTGTTCTGGCTAGAAACATGCATCCAGTGTATGGAGCTGTACGGAATGGAGCTGTTCCGGAAAGGAACGTGCGTCCGTTGTTTGAATGTGTGTTACGGGGCTGTTCCGGCGGGAAACATGCATCGTTTGTATGAATCTATGTGGAACTGAGCTGTTCCGGAAAGCAACGTGCATCTGTCGTATGATATCTGTGTTACCGGGCTGTTCCCATCGTGGGCCCTGGCATTTGTGTTGGTGCAGAAGACGCAAGGTGCCTCCGGATAATCAAGCCCGCCACCCCTGCTGCATCAACAGGCGCAATTCGGCAGTGTTCCAAATGGAACAGAGTGTCTGTTGCACCGCTGTGCAAAGCGCACGGTGATTCCCCGTGGGACTTGGCACTAGGCTTACTGGCAAAATCATCCCATGGCGTCCCAAAACGAAGCCCCGCCCCTGCCGCATCGACAGGCACAACTCGGCAGTGTTCCCAATGGAATGGAGCACAGTTGCGCCACCATGTACAGCGTGGGGCGAGTCCTCATGGGACTTGGCACTAGATGTACTGGCAAAAGCATCCCATGGCATCCAGAAACGAGGCCCCGCCCCTGCCGCATTGACAGGCAGAGCCCACGACGTTCTGAGTGGAACGGAGCATCTGCCACACCGCCTTGTACAGCGTGGAATGGTTCCCCGTGGGACCTATAGCATGCAGGCCTAGCTGGCTCCAAGAAACACTAAAAAATTCCAACTCCGAGTCATCCAATGTGACGAACATCTTGCTAGCCATCTCACTAGGTTAGCCTACACTCTGCGAGGCCCTGATCCAGTCTGTGTACCCACCGCGTGGCGAGTAGGATGCCAGACAATGAAGACATGGTGTATTCATGGCGAAAAAACACTCAAAATTCTACCTGCTTTCCTCCATCGGACATGCCACGGCTGCCACCAATGTAATGTCGATCGGATCCTGGGTTGACACACGCCAGACGAAGAAAACCACAGACACTATTCTTCAGGTTTTCGGGGCTCTAGGCCCTTTATTCTTGCCACTTTCTTACATGAGGCTCTCTCCTTTTTTACAACTCACAACAAAAGATTTTATACAAAAAAATGTCACACTGAGTCGGCGCAGTCCGGCAACGGGTCTCCCTGGCAAAGCAATAGGGGTCGCAACGCTAAAGTACTGTCAGTCCATGCTGGCACCCTTTGGCAGCAGCCTGGCACCGACGTTACAATATAACTGTTTTGTGAATACTTCCGGTAATACACACATTTTAGAATAAAAGGCAACTAAAGTTGGTAACGTGAGCAACTTTTGTAATGTGAGTAACAAAAAATGTAATGTGGGTAACCAAGGTTTTTTATTCCAAGTCACCTGTACTATACCCAAACAGACTTTTGCTTAATAATATTGCATTTTATTGATAACTGTGTATTTTAAACTAAGGAAACTCAAGCATTAAAGATATTTTAAGCATATTTTATGCTGTTTATGGTGCAAATTGGTCCTTGAGACAGCTTTAATACATATCATAATATCATATAAATTCCATTGAAGCGAAGTAAAGTATTCTTATCACATTTTTATGTAATAAGGCAGACGCCTGTACTTCTCTACATTGAAATTAAAACAGTTTCTGGCGGTGTGGCATTTTCCAAGGGCTATTAATTGTGTGTTATAGTGGCATACATACCGTTTTAACAGAGTCTGAACCTGAGAGGTTTTTATATGTCCGGGACAAAGGTGTGTTGATATCTCTTCAATTTCCCAATTCCATGGCCCTCAGAACTTTCTAATATAGGATTTGAGTGTAGAACTTTTATTCATGAGCTCGGCGGACAGATTTTGGGCCTATTTACTGGGTTGCCCCCCTATAGTCATGGATCACTGATTGCCAATGAACAGTGTCATGCTGATTGCAAAGTGAGTGTTGCAAGATAAAGGGTGTAGGTTATGTATGTGATACATGTAACTGAAGATATGGTGTTCAATAAACACCATGCACTATATATAACTTTGCAAGGAGGCTGCAAATACAATTTAGACAAAGTCTCTAAAGTGAAAAGATGTTAAGCAAACATCACTCAATTAAAACATTTACGGAAATCTGAGGTTTAATCGATCAAAGCATTTTTGATTCCTGTTACTTTTAGTCCTATTCAGTTCAGTGATGAAGGTTGTAAAACTAATGCTAAACTCTACATTTACTGTGTCTTATCATGGCAGCTCTTAATCAACCTCCCATGTTTCCTGATAGAATCTCTACTATCAGTTCAACTGATTGAAACCTTGCTGTTTAGTCCAGCCCTAATCACCTAAACTGGGGATTTTCCGGTGTGGGGGGGGGGAGGGGAGTTGTACGACCCCTCCCCCAATTCGGCCGCAGGTCCACTGTTTCCTCGCAATTGATATTTAAGTTTTACTCAAAATGGGTATGTGTGCGCTATCTTTGGGGAAAATAATTCTTTGGTTATAATGCGGGGATAGTTCAACAGGAAATATATAGAGCAAGTTCCTGGATCACGCACTGCTTTATAGCCTGATGCATTAGTCGTTGCATCGCTGTTGTTCTGGTAGCAGCGCGCGGCACTCATCGCGCGGCTAGTGGCCTGGTCTAGTCTCAACATGATCTGTCCAAAAGATCAGGAAGGCGATGCAGTGATAGTACTGTTAAGGTCCACTATATAGTATTAATTAAGGTCAATTAAGTTCCACTTTACGGTAAAAACGAACATGCTAGATGGCCTGCTACATGTAGGCGATGTAGCTTATGTCCTAGAGACAGTGCACAAGTGCCCCTCAACGGTTACAAGAGAGAGTTGGGAGGGACCAATGACATCACAAGGGAAGAAATACTTGTACGCCTATACTGCTCGCTTTAAGATGTTTCAGATTTATAAACAATTAATTCAGAACTTATGCATGGATGCTTCACACCATACACATGCCAACTACTCTTGTGAGGGGACGCCTTGTGTCCCTCCCAAGGAACTCTCGTAAGCAGTCAAAAAGTGCCTTCTGTTAGTCATGCACAAATTCCATAACCAGTGAACAACAATTTGCTTTTCTGCACTCATTACTTTGGCAAACAAGAGCGACTGACAGTGATAAGTTATCTCAATGAACATCATTCGAGCCCAACGTGCAACACCAACAGAGCATAATGAGTAAATGACTAATTCTGGCTTTAATCACTGAATAAAAAGTGTCACTTCTCGGAAACTCAATTGCTTTCTCAATATGCATGAGGTCGATAAGGGGAACATGTTGTCACCACTCGGCGAATGTGACCGGATCCTAATGCATGAGTCCTATTCGACTGCTTGATGAACATTTCCACAGGATACTTATCTGTGTCCAAGGCCATCTGCACATGTACCGGTAAACTGTGTGCATAAAATACAAGCAAGTTCCAGCTCAGTTTACGTTAAAGTCCATTTCCCAAGATTTCAAGCTGTTCTTTCCGATCTACAGCCATGATCATAAGCAAAAACTTCAGCAGTTTGTTTAATTTTGATAAATATGTAACCCTTTTTAATGCATTTAAACAAATATTGTAGATGGGCAAAAGTTTTAACAAAATGTTTTTCCGAAAAACATAGCAACCAAAAAGAAAAAAGGATTTAGCCACATACATGTACATGTACCGGTATATAACTACCCGGTAAGTGCCAAAAAGTTGGAGGAATTTGAATTCTTAATGTAAAGTTTTTTTCTACAATACTTTTGCACCCGATAACCATTAGCCAACAGAAAAAAAAAGACGTAAAGCAAAATATCAATTTCTCCGAAGTGGCAACACATCACATTGTAAGAATTCTTTGGATATTTGGTTATAAGGCCTGACAATCAATAAACAAAGTTCAGTTTGGTATACATGCATGTAGGCCTATATCTTTGGCAAATTTGTTGGTTAGAGAAACAAATAATGGTATAAATTACAGGTCTGTAAACATGATCCCCATGCAGCAAGCATGCAGGGCCACATGTAAATGACTGACTGGATACTTGTATCATACAAAACAGGGCAAGAGAAAGCTTTGTAGACAAGCAGGACTTCCGAACATTTTGAAAAAAAAACTTCAAATAAACCAAATTGCCAGTGATTTTAAGGACTGAGTTGTGTCGAGCTGTAATTGGGAGACAAGGAAAAAATTAAGTGGAGATGTTTGATTCCAAGGTTGGGAGTGGTACCGTACTCTCATTGGGCGGTGTTGGACACAACGTGACATTGTGGCCTGCAGAAATGCCATCATACATGTAGCTCACACTGCTTGCCCACCCACATCCTACAAAACCCACTGGAATATGAAAGATTTTTTTTAAGGATTGAGGGCTCAGGTTCCGGTATAGAGCCCAGCCACTACT